AGTTAACAAAACCATCATTGTAAGCATTTGAGTCATTCAATGTTGTTGAAGTCAGTGATTTTTTACTTATGTTAATGGGATATTGATATCTTGATATTTCAGCATTCTCATAAAAGCTTTTTTTCTTTAGTGCGGCACACAAGTGGAATATTTATGAATAATCTTGATAGTGTTTACATGATCCCTTGATATTAAAGTAGCATTACTGAAGTAGTTGTTACCTCCTTCTGCTTAGCAAAAACAAAAGATTAAACCAAGATCATTTAGTCGTATACAGAAGAGAAAGATTCCCAGATGTCAGATGTTTTATTTTTCAACTTTTTAGAAGTTGCACCTGCTAAAATAGAGCGGTGTATTGCAGGATGCTTTATATTGCATAAATGTATCAGGAACTGTATTTGCCATTATGGGTGGATTATTGTAACAGTAGTTTCCTGATGACTTCATAGTAAATTCCAGCTGCCCAAGCAGTTATTTTCCAGAAGAGGTTATCTGTAGTGCACTTGTGCAAAATTACACTTAAAAGGGCACTCATAGTTCCCTTGGGACTTACAAACCAAACCTTTTGTCAAATCATTAGTAAACACAAAATTCTTTGTTTTCATTCTGTAGCGGTGGTAACAGTATGGGCACTACTGCAATTTGTGATTCTGGATTAAACGAGTAAAAATTACATTATGCAGGGCAAGTGAAATGGAAGTTGGGAGCGCAGGCTTCCTGTCATGAAGGGATAGATAGCACAATGGTTCTCAAATGTTTGTTTCTAGAGAATTTTTAGGCTGGTGACATAAAGATAAGGGCATACAGATTGCAGTACCCTACCTGAAATGGCAGTCCTCCCTGTCCAGTAGAGCTTTTTGAAGGCATGGGTAGCTACAGAGCGGGAGAGGATGCTGGTTGAGAAGCTGGCCTAAAGGAGTAGAGATTCATTTTTGTGTGGGACGTTAATGTATAGAGGTATATGTCTTTCCTAGAGTAAATCTGGATCGATTACTGTTGTTCGGGTGGTTTTTTTTTTTTGTTTTCAAGTGGTAGCCTAATTGCTTGGACAAACTCTTTAGATAATGTCTTGAAGGCTGCATTAGAAATTATCATGCCAAGTCACACAGTTCAAAGGGTCTTTCCCAGAGTTAAGAAGCCATAATTAATACGGAGTCAAACATTTCTGGCAATTGCTGTATTTGAAATGCATATTAATATATATTTAATGAAGAATGCACGATCCTATCATTCACTCTTCAATAAATCTTGTAGCAGGAAAATCAAATCTTGGATTTTTACCAGTTTGTCAGACCCTAAGAACATCAAATAACTATTCTCTGCCAATTTCTTTCTAGCAAATAACAGTATTCTGCAGGGATTTCAAATAACATGTTGTTCCAAGGATCATTTAGTTTTAATAATGATCTTTATTAGATGTATTACTCTATATATGTTGAAAATGTCATGCAGTTTTTAATGAACTTTCACAACATGTCTGTGAATTGAATAGCTTGTCATCATCATTTTCACTTCATGAGTGGCAGCAGTGGGCAAAGTTGGTAGATTAACTGTTAGTAGAATTCAAGATCTTCCATCTCGCTGCTCTGGTCATTGATTTTTCCTGCACTCACTGATTATCTGCTTTGTTATCCACACGTGTAAGAGCCTGCCAAGTCAAGACCTACGACGCAAATCCTGCAAAAACGAATTCATTGATTACTTTCATTCTTTTATTCTTCTCAATGTTCACACACGGGACAACACCCCCCCCCAGCCATTTTTATTTTCCAGCCATTTTCTCTTTCCCTGGCACTCTCATCTACTTACTGATGTTGCTTTGTTCTCCCATTGAATTCATTGAAGGTTTGTGTTAGGTGCAATTAGCTTCCATCCTTGTTGGTCCCACAAAGTCTTGCAGGAATGATCTGCATTACCACTCAATGTACAGATCCAATATATATCCAATGCAACCATCTTCTCTGTGGAGTAATCTTCAGGTTTGTGACTTCTCAAACCTCTTTAATGACAAGGAAGGCTTTCCAGTCCCTGTAAACTATCCCACTGAGGCTAACACTAGTTTGGGTCAGTGGTCCCTTGTCCTGTGCATTTGACAGAGCCATAGATTTCTCATTTGCTTTTTAGCATTTTAAATGAGTGGATGAGGTGACTTTACTGGAATGATTATACCGGTCTCAAAAAGTCAGGTGGACCTGATGAAAATCTGACTCCTGTATTTGGAGGAGAATAAGTTATGCCAGGCCCCCTTCTCGCTCCTTACACGGTGCTGGAGATTTCGAAAGTTTATGGGTATTTATTATTATTGATACGTCACCACTAGGACGCCCGCACTCTTAGCTTTTCTATATTCCTCATTTTGAGGATGTTATTTGGATCCACGTTCAGAAGAAGATTCTTTCTTCTCTGGAAGAAGTTTTGAAGTGATGAAAGCACCTGAAAAAAAAATAATTTTGTTTGCTGACAATAACTTGATTTTAGCCCAGACAATTTGTAATGAAAATACTTTTCTTCTTGCTAATCCAATGTTACAATAATTACAAGCAGCAGATCAATAGCGGGAAGTGTTACTTCAGATATTAAGCCACAAATTGATCTCCCTGTCAAACCTTAAGAAAGAGCTGTATCAACACATATTTCAAAGATTGGAGGACATTTTCAAATGTAATAGTGATGGACTGAAGAAGAGAGAACAATAATTTGTTTTATGCAAGTGTATTAACTCTTTACAGCCTGAATCTAAACAATCCTGCTACTATCTCATTATGTTTTGCGCTCACATATTACATCAGTGATTTCTGACTATTGCTCCACTTGGCTCTGATAACATACAGGATTATCTCTGGATAATAACAATCCTCACTTAAAATAGGAGGAAACACAACTTGCACATGATCCAACACAAGTCTTGTGCAACTGTGAAAGTATTCCAGCATTTATATGGTAGGTGTTCTAATCAAGTTAGTTATTGACCAAAATAATTCTTTCTTCGGAAAATAAAGACAACACCAGAACACCTTCATATCACATAACATTCTTGAATTTCCTTGGACAACTGATGGCTGTTGCAACTCGGTGTACTGACTAAATCATACTGACCTCTTCTAAAGAAAGCAGAGGAAAAAAATCTAAGAAATTCTAGAATTCTTTCAAAAAAAACCCCAGATAATAGAAATTTATGTGTTGTAGTTTTTATTCCAAAAACTAAGACACAGTGGTTTTGAGATCACTTTCCCCTCTTAATGGGCAGAAGTATGAAAGTTGTCCTCATATGGGCACACTGAGGTTTTTGAAGCTGCAAATGTCACTGCTCAATTCACTTTATGGTGTTTCTTTTATAAGCTGTTAAGAAAGATTAAAAGGAGTAATGTGTGTCTGAAGAATTTGTTCTTGAATATGTTTTTTAAGCATTGAACATTGTTGTAGCTCAGATGCTTGAGAAGTCAGCTTCTTCTCTAGGAATGCTTGCCAGGTACATGCAGGGATCTGGGAAAAATAGTTTTTGCTTTCTGTGGGTTGCCTCTCCCCTGATAAGCATCTGGAAGGAGCATTTAGGAGTGTGAGGTTTCAGTTCCCCACTTCCTAATGCTAGGGGATGCTGCAGGTTTGGTGCATTGTTAATCTTTTGTTGTTGTTCTTCAGATAAGAGCTTCTGTTTTTTCTGATGGTCTGTTGAATTTCTTTTGCTAGTGCAGAGATAAAGAATTTTGACTGGATGTGAGTAGTCAGAGCAAGAAGTCTCTTTGATGCAAACCTTTCTCACCTACTAACTGTCCAGTCCTCTTGAGCAGCGATGACTAGCTGAGCAGTCAGAACTTGTTATATTTTTCCTAACAGAAATTACTCCTGTGTTTAACTGTTTATTAGTATGAAGGGGAAGGAAGGTGGTCTTGGCCACCACTGAAGCCTTGTCAGCCAGTTATGATTAGCTTGATTATTTAATTACTTTTCCAGCACTAAGAATAAGTATTGCTTCACAGTGGAGAACAGAGGAAAACTGCAGGTGTCCCTTCAGCAGAGCAAGAAGGCTTTTCTCTAGTCTAGCCTTTTGTTGCTACAGCAATGTTTCCAGCTGTGAGACTTCCTTGCTGCCAAGTAGTAGTAAATAGCTGTATAAATCATAGTAATGCTTGTGCTATTCCGGTACAGCTGATTGCTTTTTGACTCTAACGGGTGTACACACGCTTATTTTCATATTTCAGTGTCAGCTGTTAATATTTCTGTAAAAGGAATAGCATTGGGAATTGAAGAATGGCCATGTTTGAAGTGCTTCATCTTCAAACTTTGGATTTCATTCCTCAATTGAAGCATACACAGTTTTGTTTCAATTGTATTTAAATTATATTTTCAACAAGACTCTCTTCAGAACTAGAAGGCAGTAGTCCTGGCCTGCCTGACCCAGAGGGCAGTCAGTAACAGTGCAGGTATTTAGGACAGCAAATACAGACTGCTGCTGTCCATTCTACCTACAGGCAGAGCTCAAAATGCTGGAGAGAAGTGGGGATGTGTCTTGGTGCTGGCACTTGCAGCCTGGAGCTCAGTGGAGTTTTGCTAAGTGCTGTTCACATTTCTCAAGAGGGAATGGGTAGGTAGGATGGCCGTGTGGATGGCAAGTTGATTGCCACCGGAAAAGGGTGAGTGGAGTAGTGAGAAGACTGGAAAGGACTAGTGTCCTGAGTTGTTTGTTCTTGACTACTTTCTTTGTACAGAGCCATAGGTATGCCTGGCTTTTTTGTATAACTGCAAAGCATAGTTTGCTGTAAAGGCTCACATTCAAAGCTGAATGAGATGTGGGACTAGGATAGCTCTTGAGGGTGAAGAATAGGAAGAATATACATTACGTGATGCATTGCTTTGGGTTCTTTCTGATTAGAGAAACCTGTATCTCCATAGGCACTTGCTGACTTGCAATGAAACTCAAAATAGATTTTGCTAAAAGAAAAATAATAAATATGGGGAAAAAATCAGAACACTTGTTATCCTTTTGTTTAAAGCATATTGAGATGGACCTGAAGAGGAATCCTGGCAGAATTTCTTGTCCAGGCTCAGCTGCAGTCCGGGTGACTGATTTGAGCTGGCAAGGCAACCTAAATCCGAGTCCACTGATTAAAGATGACGGAGAGTTACTTATGGATGAATACCTTTCCCCCAGGAAACTGGTGAGTAGACATCCAACTTTTTAATGAAGTAAAAGAGGCAAACAGGCAGATGCAGAGCTGTATTAACTTAACCTTCCAGCTGCTCTTATGGTAATTGCAGATTGTTGCATATCTGACAGTTAGACTTCTGCATAAAGTAGATTCTGTCTTATGGAAATGTATCAAATATTTGTCCTCCTTTCACCTTGTTTCATATAAAAAATATTCCCAGCATGAATGTTGCTGTCTTTATTGCCATCTTTCTTGAAACAGCATGAAGAAAAGTACAGGTAGTATAATTATAATTTAAACAGATCTCATTAATGCCATCTGAAGTACCTTGAATTGTAGCATTAGAAAAAGCTTTTTACATTAACCTTGTTCTTGAGATTGGAGATCTCTAACTTTAAAAGCACAACTTTATTTTGAATTAGTGAAATCCTCTGTCCTGCTAAGAAGCCAATTAAAATATTCTGCAAGTGCTGCAAGTACTTTCTATATATATCAAAGTGTGTGAAATTTCAAAGCACATTTTGAAAGCCATGTTCCTTTTTGACTGGGGGAAATGATTTTGACACGCAGCCTGTTGAAAAAGAGTAACATGTTGAAATCTCTTGTGACGGAATATATGGTTGCATATTGTGCTGTATTTGCTCAGGACTGATTAAGGGTGAAATCCTTTGGGATGTGTAGAAGCTGAGAAAATAACCTCACTTATCCCCGCTAAAGGGAGCGAGAGCTGAGAGGAGAAGTTAATGGGGAGAAGCTCTAGCATTCTGTGTTGCAGAGCTGGGTAGAAATTAGTGACAGACAGATGGGGCCAAGGCTGTGATTTGGATGCTCCCAGCAGGCAGGGTGGTGATCGCAGTGTCCATAATCCTCTGGGCATCCACTGTATTGGTGGAGAGACACTGGCTGCTGCAAGGGGCATATTCCAGCTGCCACTCCCTAACTGTATACCTGTCACAATTTTGACCGTGCACTGTAGATTAGACATCAAGTTGTTCTCAGAACTACTCTTCCCTTAGTAGCTAAGTCTTTTAGTGTTTATAAAATGTTTGGAGATTCAAAAATCACTTTCTGCAGAGCGTATATTTTAAGCTTTCTAGAGAAAAATTGATGTATGATCTTATGATCTATGCCATTCACTTTCCTTTGGCTCACGTGAACCTCTGACAACTTCCTGGTCTTTTTTAAAAATCTGGCATAGAGTTTGACCAGTCTAGTGTGTTTGTGGCCTACAATACCCTGTATAAATCCAATGGGAAGCTCTCAGATCAGTCTGTTTTCTTAGGGCACGAACCAAAGCCCATTAGAGTAACCAAAACAGCTGCCCTCTGACTTCACAAAACTCTGAATTAAACCCTTAGGAAGTTTTTTGTTGGCATAAAATTCTCTCTTTCTGAAGCTCTGCTGCTTTTAGTTCACAGTAATTTGCAAGCAGAAAAGTGAATGTAAGGCAATGTTACCCACATCCCATTAAGCTGCATTTCATTATTTTGTAATATTTTTTAAAATACAGATCAGCAGTTAAATTTTCCACAATTCCAGGCTATTTTTAAAAATGAGAAAACCGCCTTTATTATTCATATGTATTCCATTGAACTTAATCAAGTTTTGTCTCTTTAAGATCGTGTGTATCAACATTTATAAGGAATTTCATTTTGGAGACTCTTTTAAATGGATGCATACTGTCCTAGTAATTTTTCTGGACACAGTTATTTCCTGGCCCTGGAATCCAACATTTGTGTTGGCATAGCTGGGATACTTCCTGTTCAGAGGAAAAATCGCATGACATTGTCAAGGAAACATTAACAATGTTTATAGCTTGTTTTAATAACGTATCCAATCTATCTATTCTTTGACCTTCTTGTTAATCAAATGAAAACCGCTACTTCCATGAATTTACTTCCTCTAGATTTGCAAATGTAAAAATAGATACACTGGTCAAACATTTAACCCCAAACAAGTTTTCATGTGCATATTTTTTTAAGGAACTACATGTCATTGATAATCAGATGGTTTGAAAGGTTGTTTTGCTTAAATCGATACACTTGCGATATCATCTTGGTTGTCTTTTAGTTGTGAATATGTTAGGAGTTATCGATTGTATTCACTGAAGTGCTCTGAGAAGGAAACTAATAGATTTTTAAACCACATGCTCATTAAAGTAAGATTATTGTACATTCAAATATGGACATAAGCCCCAGTTCTGCAGTGTTGCATAGGCAGATTTCTGGACACCTGATGAATGTTCCTGAAGAAGTTCTGAGACATATACTCAGCTTTACTCTTTGCTCCTGCAATGTTCTGTCTTGCATCAGTCCAGTTTGAGCTCGGGGAGGGTGAAAGGTCTAGCTGTGCAGAATCTATGAGATTAGGCACCTTGGATTGCTGCTTGCAGCCTTGTCTCTACCTGCACATTTTACTCATTTTGTCCTTTTTCCAGGGGAATAGCACTCTATTTAGTAGTGAAAACATTGGCAGTCTACATTAGCAGTCCTCATTATTAAGGACACTCTAAAAGGTGTGATACCTTCATTTTTTTTCCAGTCGCCAAGTTGTTTTCCTCCAAAGAGAGGAAAGTTTGGCTTAAACTGATTCTTCTTTTCTTTTTCTTTCCTTTTTGCCTTCTTGGACCTCCTAGCACATAAGACAACTTCTACAAAATCATTGGTCCCTTGCCCATTCTTTTTCTCTCCATAGCGGATCCTCACCTCACCTCACCTCACCTCACCTCACCTCACCTCACCTCCCCTCACCTCACCTCACCTCAATCTTATACTTGCTCACTACAGGGTTTGTGGTCTTCTGTGGTCTCATTTCAATATAATGTTCACTTTGAAATCCTGTGTGATTCCACATCCCCATTGTGTTAATCCCATCTTCTATAGTTCGTGCTTGCTGCCATCTCTCTTGCTGCGATGTCATGTAATGCCCTTTTATATTTGAATACTCTCCATCCAAGCTACAGGTCAAAAGCTTTTGATCCAGGGGTTGGTATCATTAGATGTTCTTTTTATTCTTTCTGCTAGTATTAATGTCAATTTTCTGTTGAACTGTTTAGCCTTTGTCTATATGAATAGGCATTCTTGCTTTTTTCCATTTGTGCCTGTCCTATAAATATTTACAGCTCCCTGCTCTGTCAGTACTTGTGTTGTGCTTATGTGGTGTTGTCAGATGTTGTAGAATACCAGGGTGAGCAAATTCCCCATTCTCTCTTTCTTCTGAAAACTGGCTATTAATGGACAATACATTGCAATTATTTTTTAACTTTATTAGGGCTGTGGCACAGATTTCTCATTAAGTGTGGAGGAACTGAAAAGAAGGGCTCCACCTGACTTGAATCAGATTTTTATTTTGTTCTATTAACCCCCATCCCCTCCCCACTGTTTGCAAAGGACTTTCCTGACTTTCACAAAAAGCATTCCACTTCTCAGAATAAACTCATTTTACAAGGTCAAATGTCTTCCAGATATTGTCACATTATCAAAACTAATCATGTTTGTGCATGATCTTTAGAGAAGAAAGGAAATATTCTTCTTATATCTCTATTTATTGATCCTGCTCCAATTAATCATGTTTTCTAAACTTAGGAACACGTGTTCGGAAGTGGTGTTTAGTTTTGTTGCTCAGGAGGTTAGGGTGTATTTCATATGGTATGCACTCATCCTCATGGGGAGAAGAAAATCCTTGGAGGGTCCTGGAACAACAGATTGGATTCTTGCTGAAATGACTGAATCGTTTCCTTTTTTTCTTGGCAGAAAGTTTTCCTCTCAGTTGTAAGCTAAATGGATTTGAGAAAAAAAAACCCATGAAGATCAAGGAAGCAAGTGCAAAATCTTGATAAATTAAGTAGAGTAACTGGCTGAATTTGGATCCTTCATTATAATTGTATAATCATTTAAATATAATAATTAAAAAAAAAAGATTTGAAGGGACCTCTGGAGGTCTACCAGTTCAATCTTCTGCTCAAAGCACAGCTAAATTCAAAGTTAGATCTGATTGTTCAAGGTAGCACATAGTAGTAAACATAATACTGTGAAGAGGAAAAAATATTCCAGAGCCTCATTTAGCTTCAGAGCTTTTCTTTTATATGTTCTTATCCTAACGCTAATGCCTTTACTACAGTGAAGGCTTGTAGTTGTTATATTAGTTTTCATCTTGTTACTTAGGCATCTAATGTTTTACATTCAAATTGTAAATCGCACCAGGAATCTTTATATTCATATGCATACACACATACGCATGCCTTTATATAAAAAAAACCCAGATTTTCATTTGCATACAGTCACAGTTGCTTAGCTAACATAAAATGGCAGATTACAGTCTTGAGTTTTGCATGTTCAGTGACACAACATTGAGCAATGATTGTAGCTACTTGTTATGCACCTAATTGCTAGATAGGAAAAAAATTAATATTGGGATATGACTTTTTTTATATCTATGTGAGGGAATGTAAATCCTTAAAGCAAATCTACAGCAAAAATTGATGTAAGGATATCAATTATCCCGTCCATTCCTGACCTGCATGTTAATTCAGTGCATAATTAAAACTGAGCTTGTTTCCTCCTACAGAAATGATACAGGCTATTTCCTTTGAGGAAACCTTTGAGGTTTGCAATAGTTAGGCGATCTCCCAGCAATTTGCAGGATCAGACCCTTAATACTGGTTTAAAAACAGAAGGTTTCAGTACTGTGAATCCCCAGCATGGGTCAGAGGAGAGCTGAACCAGGGATGGCAAGACTAGGCAAGAGCCTATCCATGTAGATCTGTAGGCGTGACTTGGAGGCTTTGGCACAAGAATAAAGACATTTTTACTAATGCATCCACCACCACTTAAATTTCATAATTATTGTGCTCATCTACACTTTTCATAAAGGCCAAGAAGTTCTCTCTTTATCACAGATTGAACACCTAGCTAATCTCTTTGTCTGAGCTGAGAGAAGAATGTATTTGTATGTATATGCGGAAAGTAGTGAAATATAGCTAAATATTGTAATTATGGTCATTCGCAGCA